GCCTCCGCCAGGGATGCCGCCGACAGGAACCCGTCTCTCGGCGGCCGCCGCAGCCTCCGCCAGGAATGCCAACTCCGTCCCGGCGACCGGACTCTGACAGATGATTTATAGCGCTAAGAAAGGCGGCAACGGCGCGGCATGTGCCGCGGGTCCGGCGCTCACCGCTCAGCATTCACGGTAGCCTGCGCCAAGGCCCTAAAACATAAGGTTGGACGAAGTTTTCTACCAAAAATGTACTAGAATAGCGTACGAGTCAAAGCTATTTCCGTTGTTTCTTTACAAATATGTCGCAAACAAGCTTTTTCTGTAATAAATCATTATTTCGATGTTAAGCAACCAGTTACTATAAATTCGATAAGCAAACACTTAATTTTTATATAAAAGCCTAGCTTATATAGTCCAATTCTAGTTGAATAATCAAGTAGCTACTAAATTTTCCAGATGTGACACATATTGCGCACTTCAGACAAATGCGTTGCTAAGGCGTTGCTAAGGACTCTTTCGCATGTTTTGCTGCGTGGTTTGTGTTTTTGTTATGAAGTGAGGGGAGTGAGATGGACAGGCTGTTTGATATTTTTTCTGGTTTTCTAGGACCGTCGCAATTATTTAACTTGACATACTTTTCTTGCTTTTTTATCCGAGGCTTTTTCAATAATTGGTAGATTCTATCGTGGAAATAAAAGGGCCAGCAGGCCACAGGGGTAAATGCAAGTCGACTGATAGTGAAATAAAAGGTAGAAGTGTCTGTTCCATTATAAATTTAATGTGATATGCTGGAACATGAAGCAACAGGATCAGACGCAAGAACCACCAATGAAGAGCCCAGAACCAGCAAGCGCCATGCCATCAAGAGCAGCCATGATAACGTTTGGTTAGCTTTCAGAAAACCTTGAAACTATACGCCAGACGGTGAGCAATCAAGAGATCTTACAAGACCAGTAGTTACTTGAAAACGAGAGCCGCCAGGAAAATCAGCAGATTCTTCAATGGCAACATATTTCAACATCTATCTAGCAATGATTTGCACCAGCGAGGTGGCTATCATTGTGTTTTGTGTCTGTATCCCTAACTGCTCAAAAATATTTGTCAATAAATAAACAAACAAATAATGCGTCTGTATATTGATATAGACAAGTAGAAAAACACGGAACAAATAGTGCATGGACGCGTTTCGATTATTAAATCTTCATCAGCATGACATAATCACTATCTTGTTTTCTCTGTGATTATGTCATGCTGATGAAGATTTAATAATCGAAACGCGTCCATGCACTATTTGTTCCGTGTTTTTAAATAATGCGTCTTTTTCTACTGAAAGTAAGTTCTCCAAGTGGCAAGGGATGAATAATAGCAGGTACCTAATTAATTGCCATCAATTCATAAATCATAGGCAATTTAGGGCATCGATCGGCAGCGCCCTTACTGCATGGTACTGCTGATCGTCCATGGATTTCTTGATGACTCCGACTCTGACTCAGACTTTCAAAAATAAACTCTGACTTTGATTTCAAATGTCGGCTCTGACCGACTCCGACTCCACAGCCCTAGCAGGTCTGCAGAGGCAATGAATTTTTGGTGACTCCGACTCCGACTCTGGCTTTCAAAATCGACTCTGACTCTGACTCTGGTCAGAACTGTCGACTCCGACCAACTACAACTCCGACTACGGAACCCTGAAAGGTCTGCGGAGGGGATCGAATTTCGGTGACTGACTCAGACTCCAGCTTTTAAAATCGACTCTGACTCCGACTCGACGACTCAGGTCAGAACTGTCAACTCCGACCGACTTCATGACTCCGACTCCGGAGCCCTACTGGCAGCTATCACGCCAGGGAGCTGCAAATCATATGTTCCGTGGCGGTTTATGGCATTAAAGTCGATAATGCGGCTGAATCGCACTATGAAACACCCTTATTGGCTGCAAGAGCCACGAAAGTTAGCGCATCACCACTGGAAAACGTGACAAGATATCGATTAATTGGCCCTGGATTTGGATAAATAACATGTTGATGATCATATCAGCACACATTTACATTATCATCTATCTCAAGGTTGCCCTCCAGGCGGCTCTAAACTATGGCAATTTCCCTATCTTCAACATGTAAATGCCCTCGGGCGTCCTCGTGGTGACGTAGGCATGGGAGTGCCAGGTTGGTAGGAACTAGACTTCGACGCCCCCTGGCCTGCGCGCTGCGGCCGCGGCCGGAACTCACACCGAGCCTGTGGCCTTTCGCTCGCTGCGCGTCTGTCTCACACCGCGTTCCGCCGCCCCCGCGCCTCCCGCGCCGCTGGCCTCGCAGTGCGCCAGCGGCGTGTGTGGTCCGAGCGCGTGCGGCGTATCGCGCCAGCTCTGGGTACCGGTAGCAGAGTGCGTTGCAGACAACATCACCACATCGACGGCGGCGGCGGTGCGGCAAAGGCGGCCCCCGCCGACGACGCGCGCGCTATCGGACCAATCAGCCTCTTATGAATGTTTTATGGCTGCGGCCGGCGCCGACGGCATGTCGACGACGGCTCGCCGTCGGCCGAGCGAGACTGAAGCGAGACGACGGCCGGCAGAGCTGAGAGACATTCCTCGGAGAGAAGCCCGATCGGAAATGTGACGTCCATAATAACCGGGACCGGCGAGTGGCGCGGCCTCTTTCAGCCGAACCGAACTGCTCACCCAATCCGCTCTTCACGGATCACATCTAGGTGGACTAGATTTGAAATGGTCCGCTGCTACGATGACTTTGAATACATTCATATTCGGTGTAGTTAGTATCATTTTCTGATATTCCAAACACGCATGCAACAATTCTTCGGACAAGGTCTCGTCAACAGATTGTCAGCCAGGCGTTCATCCGCATAGAATGCTAATGCGATTAAATGAAACAACCGGTCTTCGCTACTGAGGCACTTAAATTAGTCAGCCTGTCGGCATGCCAGGCATGTCACGACTTTGCTGACGTCTTCGCCCCCGTCTCCGTCTTCGTATCTGTCTCTGCATCGTCTCCGTCTTTCCGTCTCTGTCTCGTATTCGTCTCAGTTCCATCTCCACCTCATATCCGTCTGTCTCGACTCGTTTTCGTCCGCTTCTTCCCGTTTCCCTTCGTCTCATTCCCTCTCCACCAGCACACCTCTCCTCGCCGGCTGCCGTGCTGGGTTTGTCCAGGGACCGATCCTCGCGGCTGCGGTGGCGGCCCGTCGCTCGCTGCATCGCTGTCCGGTTCGCAGCGCTCGCCGCAGCGGCGGCACGTAAAAATGCCCGGCCGTCCGCCACAGCGCCGACAGCGCGGTAAGTGCTAGAACCCGTTCTGCGATCAGCCGATAGCTATTTCAAGGTGTAACTCCGGTAGCAGAAGCCTATTTGCACGACCTGATTTATGGTTTTACCCTGTCGTCAAAATTTGCCAGGGTGCAATATTACTGCGGTGTGGCGACGCCGCGAGGCAGCTGCTGGGGCTGCCCCATGGACGAGGAATGCAGCAGACGGCCTAATGCCGCCCAACACGGCAGCGGTGACCGAAACACAATCGCACGCGGGCCGCAATCTGCCCATGCAAAAAGTGGCAACGAGTCCCATACGTCAGGTCGGGGCGCTGAGCGTGCTTCGTTCCGTTAATGGATGATTGCACAAATTGCACGCCACAATGTTCGGGTCACGTGATCGGCACCGACCTGGCAAATCACTCCCGGAACAGGATCGCTAGCACAAAACTGCCACTGCATTCGCGCCCGACACGAACTTCGGAGAAAAACTGCCGTGCAAATGCCTCCACATCGACGCCCGCCAGCGCCGCCAGCATTCTCTAGACATTGCAGCATTATTTTTTCACCACTTACATGCGGCGTTCAGTTAGTAATATTCCCGGGTCACGCATCCTGTCAGCCGCCGGGACACGCGGTGATCGTGTCTCCGGCAGTTTTATAATTCATCTCTGGGGACCGGCCGGTGGTCTCTGGCGCTATCGGCCGGATCCAGTCCGGTATCAGCTGCGATCACGCGCCGGCGCGGCGATTCGGCCGCGCGCTGACGATCGGACACTGACTGTCGGCCGACGGAGGAGCCCGCTCCGATGGGGTATTCTACATATTCCCTTGAGGGTTATGTCGTTATCAAATAATGTAATTTGTCGTATTCACGTACTCACAGCACTTACCGTCACGCTACTACCTACACCTGTAGGTATGTCGCAGACAGCGAACATTGAAAGTGGACTAAATTTATAGCTATGACGTGTGACCTTCATGTCAGATAAGGTTCACGTTCCATTCATATCTTGGAACCAAGTTAACATATGCCAAAGCCCAAACTTAAATAATGACACCCAACCCAAATGCGTATTTAAAACCTACTCTGGTAAGAAAATTAATGCTTCAATTATCATACCGACCACAGTGTAACGCGATAACACATAAAGTTCATTGTGACATATTGTCGGGATATATCTTGACAAACGCCGTACCCAGTGTGTGACGGCGGACATTGTTTCAGTTACGCCGTCACGCGTCCCATGGTGGAAACAGTGGTGGGTCTTGGAAACGGGTTAACACTTCCGAACAACGGCAGTGGCGCGCCAACGTAACGTTGGTGACGTGTTCCGTGACGCCAGTGTCCGGTAAAAGGTATGGAGTGATAGGTGATGGTGGTGACATGTGGCCATAACGCCAGTACGTACGTTCGTGAAGGGCGCCGTAACGGCTGTGACGGGTCGGCGGTGACGGGTGGCCATATCGCCAGTGACCGTAGCGCCTGTGACGGGTGCGGTAACCAGGCCGTCCAGCTGCCAGTCGGCCGTTTAATCCGCGCCGCGAGCGCTCATTCCCATTCCTGTCCCGCCGTGGAATGAGGGTCGAATTCTTCAAAAAACGCGCCGCGCTCGGTGGCGACGCTGCGGCGACAGATGCCCGTCAGCTCGCCGGGGCTGGGGGCGCGGCCGGCGACAGCCCGCCGCCAACCGGACACCGGCGCGGCGACTCGGCACCGGCCCGGGCACCGCAGCGGCGGCACCGCGACCACACTCGGTTCAGTACAGTACCGGCGCGGCCGCCGACCGTCAGTGGACAGTAGAGCGCACACTGGCCGCGCGGGCGACACGCGTGACCGGCGCGCGGTGGACACGCTGTGGACGGTGGACGCGCGCTGTGGACCCGGTGGAGCGTGGCGGTGGACGCGGCGGTGGGCCCGTGTGGACGGCCGCCGGTGAGTGGACGGTGGACGGCAGGTCGGGGTTTACGGCCCCGAGTCACGCCGGCCGCGGGGCGGTGAACGGTGCTCTAGGACGGCGCCCGGGAGTTAGGGGAATTGTCGGTCTACCCACCGCTTCAACGAGAGGTACCCGCTGAGACTGAGGACTGAGGAGCCTCACCGAACTACCAGCCACGCTGCGCTGAGTTCTCCGAGGTCAGTGTCTGACAATGTGGCCGGTTTCCCACGCGCGCATCTCGTAACGTGTCTTCCTCAATCACAGCCCTCTGTTAGATTATAGCCGTCCTTTTACGGCAAAACGACCGACTGACAGTTACCTGCGTCGACTGCGCATGCAAATGAGCTCGGCACATGATTGATTGTTTGGGCTGTATCCATACCTACGCATAGTGCACTCTGCTCTGCGGAGTTTTGGAAGTTACGACCTCTTAATGCAAACTTATTTTATTCAGCGCTCGATTTGGTAATTCAGAAAACTAATTTTCACAGAACTATTTAACAACTATTTTGTGCTCGTACATACATAATATTTGTGGAGCAAAATTGATACCCAATTGATATATTTTCCTTAGGCAGATTATGTGAGAACACTTGTATTATACATGACGGGAAATGGTTAATGAGTGGGCCTACGCTTTAATGAATAAAATCCAAACATCCATGGAAAAGAAACTATGTAGCGATTGCCCTTTCAAGAGGTAGCATCTACATACATACATCTACATACATGTATTTGCTTCAATGAAATGGTTCTTCTGAAAATAGGTTTACGAATACCTGCCGTTTCAATTTGCATGGATGTGACGGATATAAAAACAATGTAAATCCGCCAATAACCGTGTTTTTCCCCTTTATGCTCAAGCCTGTATGAATATCAAATTTTTTTGAAAACAATCGCTTAGCTTTTACAAAAAGTGCTTCAGTGGAGCGTTACTCCAGCTAGCTTCAGCCATTCCTGATGTCATTATAGTCCAATTATGAACAAAGCGAAATATTTTCAATATAATGGAAAAAGTCAGTATGAGCGGCCCGACCCGGCTCGGCGCGACCCGGCCGGTAACGCTTTTGAGAGGCTTATAGTTATTACAGCAACCGCTGGGCCGATGGACCTGCGGTCTTTTCTATCCCTTCTACCCCGTAATTGACTGCTCTTGATTCATCTATGGTGACCGTTGTGGCACGTGCCACGTGAAAAGTCAATGGTGTTCTTGCTGTTCTGCTGAAGTAACACTTTTGAGAGACCTACGAGTATGTAGGGGAGAGTGGGGTAAGATGCCCAGGGTGGGAAAGACGCCCCACCCCCTCTAGCGGCGAAACAAACAATCGAACCTGGAAATTAATGTTCTTAGCGTAAAGCGGAAGCCTGTCTTGTTAACTGCACAAAAATTTGCGAAGCTCAGTTTGGCAACGGCTGGCTGGTGATTGCATGTTTTTTATTTGCTGCTTTCAAAAAATATTTTGGTGTCAAAACATTGTAAATATCAAAGAAGGTAAATAATTTTTATGTCCCTTGCTATGGTCGTGATACATTAACATGCGTGTACTGTGCCCCAAACAGTTTGTTTCAGGGTGTAGTTTTATGGCTAACAAATTGTACTGATTTAATGTTAATTTTGTACCTTGGGGTAAGATGCCCCCTGTCCTGATGGGGAAAGACGCCCCCCTAAATCCGTAGGCTGTCCTTCAAGCAGCCCGTCAAATCATTTATTACATACTTGTGATGAGAGACAAAAGCTGATCTGGGATTATTGAGAGTCCAGTACGATCGGGTGTTCCCCATGCCGGTCTCTCGGCCCACACAGCGACTTCTTGGGCGGCATCTGACTCTGAGAGCCCTCACGACGGCCTCTGTGGGCCCCATTATTGGCTCCAGGGCCCCTCACGACATCCTTTGAGGGCTCCTACGTTGGCTCCAAGGGCCGCGCTGGCATCTGAGGTCCCCACGATGGGCTCAAGGGCCCTCAAGCATCATGAAGACCTATAAGGGCCCCACAGTGGTCTCTAAACGCCACCACGGAGGCTTGTTTGGCCGCGTTGGACTTTGATGGCCCTAACGATGACCTCTGAAGCCCCTTACGACTACTTTTGAGGGCCCTTACGATGACGTTTGGTGTCTACTGCAGGCTCGAAGGGACTACTGATTCGTTCAGGCGATTCACGTGCCCATTTATGTCACTTATAGTGCAGGGGGCATCTTCCCCAACGCCAGGGGGCGTCTTTCCCACCCTGTGGGGTAAGATGCCCCCTTTCACTTCTTCGGAAAAATGCTTAATAGCAAAAAAAGTGATCATATTTCAGGCACGAAAGTGTGATATTTTTGAAGAAAAATGATGTCGGCTTCCGTTGAAACTCCAAGTTTTTGCTTTCCGATCGTCATTTTCGAATAATATATGATAAAGCAGAACCCTGGGCATCTTTCCCCACTCTCCCCTATATCTCAGCAACCACTGCAGTGGTTACTGCAGCGGGCTGGGGCGATTGACTTGCGGATTTGTATAGTGTAGGGTAGTTACATTCGTTCCACCAAACATCGGATATTCTCGATGCACGTGTACATGACCTCCACCGCATGTGCCACATGCAAAATGGAGAGGTGTCAAGTTTCTTTCCATTACAATCACTTTGCAATTACTGTTACAAAAGTGGTAGCTGTGGCGATTGCGCTGAAACTTGGTATGGATGTAGGCACTCACCCTATGATTTAACCCTATTACGGGCGGGAGGGGGGAGGTTGAAAAGGCTCCCCTCAGTTTTTTTCTTGTGCCATTGCCAAACGCCGCAAAATATTTAGCTTATACTTAGTGGCTTTTCCTAAACATTCATTGCGCACATTTCAGAAAACAGCCTCAGAAAAGCTTGCAACAAGTCAAAGCTAGAGTTTTTTTCACGGAGCAATTTCCTCTCTTCAGGATTTCATTACAGTACCATTATGTGTAATTTGTATATCTCATAATTTATATATTTGTGACCTGAGGTCAGGTCAGACTCAGAGTCGTGATTTTTACATTATAAGCCTATGGGAAAATGTTGAAATGCGGCCTGCTTCGAGTTAATGAGTCAAACCCACCAAACTCTTTCAGGATAATGACAGATTATCTGATCTGTACTGGCCAAGGTGCCATTTACTAGTAGGGACACCGGGAAGGGTCACCTGAGGTCATGTGATGTCATCAGTAGTTTTTAACCAATAAATCACTTATTACGCATTTCAGACCCTCTGGAACAGTCCCTTTTGGCTCTTTCTCGTTACCTATATGCTTGATTTCAACCAAACTTTGACACAATGTGTTTCAAGGGCCTACCTAATTTTTACTAATATGGTCTTTTAACAAAATGTCCAAATGAAAGGCACTTGTCGTTGACTTGTAATGGTAAAAATTGATCGGAAAACTCTGCACCGTGGTAGAGGCTAGCATGGCGTTGCAGCGTCAGCTGTTGCGCCGCAGCTAAGCTCCGCCCACTGCGCCGCGACACCGGGACCGGTCATTCGCCGCTCGGGGTCAGAGCGGTGCGGAGCTCTGACGGACTGGAACGAGACACACGCTAACGCAGGCATCATTGCGTGAATATTGTAAATGTCGTATCTCGCGCGGAGAGAATAAGGATAAAGAATGCAATGCAGATCGGTGTATGTATAAAACAATAGGTAAGCACTCCTTCTAGCTACAGAGTATTATTCCCTATGCAGACTTAAAATAATCTTATTTTCAATAATTTATAGCGAGCCTCTCCGCAGCCGTTTTCCTACAGGCTATTGTGCATTTAAGGAGTAACGGGACATAATTCACCGGACTGTCTTTGCATTCAACGGCCTTATGTAATTGAAGATATCCACATAGATACTTGTAGGTATTTCGTTTTTTTTGTTTAAAAGAATATTTTTTTTTTTTTTGGGGGGGGGGGTGAAAATAATAGGTAAATCTTTCCATGACATTTCCACAATGCTTTCAGAATGTTGTTGATAGATCTTAGGCCCGAAAAACAATAAAACAGGGAAAGATATAGGATGACTCAATCTGAAAATGTAGATATGCAATATCGAGAGTTAATGATCTCCCATCCTTCACTCCCCCTTGTCAGTCTCTCGTCTATACGTTTATAGTATATTGTCTCTCGTCTATAGCCTAATCTCTATCTTCGTCACTTGTCTCTGGTCTACCATCTTTTTGTCTGTCTTTCGTCTACCGTCTTTGTCTCCTGTCTCTGCTCTAGCGGCTATATGCATATTGTTTGTTGTCCACTAGCCAACGTTTACCGTTCGTCTCATTGTCACCTTGTCTCCTCTTCCTTTCTCTTTCTTACTCCGTCCTTATTTGTCGTAGAACAACTTATTAAAAGTTCATGACATGCAAACAAGTGCTCCACTCCGCTGCGCTGCGCGCGCGGCCCACGGTACATAGAATACTAGGTAACACCGGTTTGTCCGCTCAACACAGGGCCAATGGTGACCACTTTCTTCAGCTGACGTCTGTGACCTTGAGCTGACCTAGGATGATAAACAGCTGACAATTTAGGCCATTTGGAACTCACTTGACAGTTGAAGAGCGTGATTTAAAATATAAATGTTTGTCAGATACTGACAAAAGATATTATTCACCAGTCATTTTTTAAGCACATTCTGTCATAAATTAGCTGACTCCCTCTGGTCTTCCACACGGCAGAAAATTCAAGTGCAATTTCTGCAGTCTTGAAGTGAACCAAACGCTATGATACACATGGTCGTTTCTCTCAGAGCACAACGGGAACTGCGAGAAAACAAGAGAGAGTCGGACTCTACAAATGAATGAGTTTGGAAGAAAAACAGCTGTATTTTTTCCTGTAAAAATGTTGACTTTGAAAACATTGGCCATCAACTTGAAAATCGCCCCCAAATCTGAAAATGTGTGAATCGACAAAACAGGCAATCTTGCTGTTTTTACCCAAGTTTGCTCATGATTGAGAGAGATTCGATGCGAAAATGCACTGATATATACTTCTGAAAGCGAGGTCTCGATCAGTGTATTAATTTTGATTTTTAACTTAATGCTTGTCCCACTTTTCCTCCCATGAAAATATTGTTGTCAATTTTTCAATAATCCTTTTATGCGTCATTGCTTTAAAAATAAAGAGAGTCGGACCGTAATTCTTTCAAAATGACTGATCGTGCTCAATATCTATCGGAATATATCAACAGATTGGCCAAACTCATTGGCTAA